GGTTTTCCTTGTATTTTTAGTCACTTATCGAAATGATTGTCGATTGGATGCGCCAAAAAACCCGCTTGAACTCATGTTTCTCAAGATTTCGTTGGTCACTGCTCGTTGACAACAGCGGTATGCCATAGTAGTGAAACGTTTTCAGGTTGTGCACCAAACAATAAAGCGGGTGAAAAGCAATGAAACGGCTAGCAGCACGCATGATGATGGCAGCGGCGAATTCTCCGAAGGAACTCATTCCGAAAATGACAGCTCAGTTGAAGATGAAAATGCTCAGATTAGTTCCGTGGTGCAGGCAAGTTGCACTATTCATGAGACTGTTTTTAAACAACAACCGTGCAGTTCGTGCGCGTAATTTCTTTTGCAGTGTTTTCACCTGTTTTCTTGAACAGGCACTTGGATGAGACTATGTAGATGAAAAAGAGGTAAGGGCTGTGACGAAGAGTTGCGAGAGGACTGCGATCGTCACTTTCACACGTTTTTGTTTTTTCGCCGAGGAACAGCTTGTACTGATGCAAATTTATGCATTTGCGTCAACACAGCTTTTCCCTTGGGTAGTAGACGGCTGATGAACGGCTTTTTTCTCTCCTTGTTTAATATGCTGCGATAGTTACGTGTGCAAAAATTAAAGATGAAAATTTATTGCACTTTAGGCTTAGAAAAATCCACGAATCGAACAAAAAAAATCTAAAAGATTGCAATGCTTTTAACATAGCAATTAACTACCAGAGGAGACTGCAGCTGTTAGCGGAACCTCTTTGAAATTTGATTTCATTAGCATTTCTATTTCCTGTCCTTCGAAATATAGGGGGTGCGTGGCGCATCCAAGTTTTAAGACTTTTTTCCAAAGTCGCACCGCCTCCATTTACACAAACTAATGCTAGCAATGCAATAAAATACTGTAATCTCAAAGTTTTGCCATTTTGTGGCGTTGTAAGCGTCAGATTTGGTGCAGCAGGACTCGTTTCATGTTTTCGAGTTGAGTTCTGTGTCTTTTTTGGTCAACTTTGCACTTTTTACCGTGAATTTTGTGTCCTTCTGAAGAAATTTTACGATTTGCAACTCAATTTTTTTACATTTTTTATCACCATTGGTCAACTACTTTACCACACTTCCACCGCAGATGCAAAAATCTGACCCTCCCTCTGATACGCCGCTAAGAAAATCCATGACTGGCCTAGTTTCAGTAATATTCTTCTCTGCCTGGCAAATGCATTGATACATCAGGTACTTAGCTGCAGACGAGCGCCTGTTTCAGCCGCTTGCTCCCTTACGATTGTCTCAGCAACAATTCTTTTCTCAATGGTAACCATCTTCAGTATTTCTGTAGCTATATGTTTTTGTATATATTCATAGTTCCTCTTATCCTTGATCTGCTCCTCATCAATTTCGCACTCACGGTCTCGATAAAAGTAGCTTCGATGATAATCTTCTAAATTGGCAGCATGTTTATTATCGCTTTTGCGAAACTCGTCGTACCTTTCCCCATCGTAATGACCACAGATACCGCACTGACTGTTTTTGAAAATTGGTGATATTTTGACGGCGGCCGAATAGCCGTCAAAACGAATAAGCACATGTTCAAGTGCCACAATGACTAATCGATCCTCCATACTTATTCTGCAAATTACAACATCGTGTTGAAAAGACGAAACATATGCATTACATGAAAAGTCTGCGAAGCGAGTGCATTATGCAGTGGACAAGCTCGAAATTCTAGCAATTCAAAAAGTTTTGAACAAAAGATTTGTTCAAATGCTTGAGATTGCTTTAAGCGAAGTATTGAAGCTAAATGAGGACGTGTTTAACAAATATGCTAAGTGTAAGCGGGGTTCATACAATCTTTGCTTGTAGCTCAAGGATGAAGCTCCGAAAATTTCAGCTGCCTAGCTTGCCTGATCAACGAGTTGGAAATGGGTGGCTCCCCTGTATGTGGATTTTGCACTTTGCGTAAAAATATCCAAAATGCAAATCTTTAAAAAAGTATT